CAAAAAAGGCAAAAAAAGGCAAAACAAAATCGCGAAAAAGGCAGGAAAAGGCACTAGGTATTGCAAAAAAAGCTAACTAAAAAAAAGCACTAAAACGACAGAAAATACGAAGAACAATCAAAAAATACATTTATTTTAAGAATGTTTATATTACAAGTAAAAAGAGAAAAACTATGAACTAGTTTCATTATATGAAAAATTTGTACTTTGAATCTTTGACTATTTTATCCTTTCGGGTTTCTAACTCATAAAACTTTAATCTGTATAGTTGTAGTAACATTGAACCACAAGATGCATTTTGAAGTTTTCTGGCAGCATTTTCATTCGATTTTCGCGAAGAAAAGCCTTGAATATACTAAATGTGTGCTCGACGTAAGTTGATACAAGCGGCGCCCAATTTAAATATAAAACGTGTGAAACGTTCATATTATCAGGAATAAGGGCGTTTTCCTCGCCCTTTATAATTTTATCCACGCCCCTTATTGTCTCCAAGCCTTCGTTAGATGAGAAAACGGCTTTGAATTTTTCCAACACCAATTTGGCAAGAGGGTCGGCCGCTGTGGTGTAGTGGTAAGCAGTGCGTGCTTTCACACATCAGCACCTGGGTTCAAGCCCTGGTCAAAGCAACATCCCAAAAAATATAGAAAAGGTTTTTTCTTAACAGCGGTCGTCCCTCGGCAGGCAATGGCAAACCTCCGAGTGTATTTCTGCCATGAAAAACAGCTTCTCATAAAAATACAATCGCCGTTCGGAGTCGGCGTAAAACTGTAGGTCCCCCCGCTTTGTGTGACAACATCAAGGCGCACGCCACAAGTCGGAGGAGAAGCTCGGCCAAACACTAACATATGTGTAAGCGCCAATCTATTATTATTATTATTAATTTGGCAAGAGGTCCTTGCGCTTCTATAAGCCGCATAGGCAATGTGTATATTTTTTAATCTTAAACAAAAAAAATTGTAAATGCTATAATCACTTTTTTAAAGGTAGAAAAGGCAAAAAAGGCAAATATCTTAAAAAAGGCAAATATCTTAAAAAAGGCAAAAAAAGGCAACATCAAATGTGTATATATGGAATCAGGGAAAGCTAAATCGTGGACATTCTTAATCGAATATACTCTATCTCTTTAGCAGAAAAAAAGGCAATTTCCATAAAATCTGTTCCCTGCTTATGAGAAAACGATTTGGCTCAGTTTATGGAAAACACAATTCCTTAATTTTTAGGAAAAATTTACTTGCCACCCGTGAAAGGAATAAGTATGTCATTTTGCTCGCGGCAGTGACAATGGCCCACAGAGCGAAGCTCTGGAGTGCTAGTCGAGAGATGCAAGGTTTGAGTCCCAGAGCAGGAAATTTTTTTTTTGTTTTATTTATTTTTTGAATTGCAATTTTTTAAATCGAATTTAAAAAAATTATCTAATTTATATTTTATGTTATTTGAGTATTTAGGTTTTTCCACATATGAAATTAATTTTACTACTTGTAATTTATATTTAAATTGAAATAATTGACTTACCTTATTCTAACCACCTCCAACCGGATTCGAACCTGCGATCTCAGAATTTAAAGCAGTAGTCTTCACGCGACGCCACAGCCGACATTTGACAGGAAAGCAATTAACTTTGTCTTAACAGCACTGACAAAATTCAAAATTATTTACGCAAATTATTACTTATATTGATGAAATTATTACTTATATTAAGTAAATTTTCCGCTTCAAATTTATACCGCCCTATTTTTAAATAAAGGAAAAATTTCTGAAATTGAGTAAATTTTTCGTAATATTAAGGAAAGGACAGTAACTCGAAAATGAGGATACTGTTTTCTTGATTCAAGGAAATGCTTTTTTCTGTGTGTATATAAAATCAGTTTTCCAAAAGTTATAAGTCAATTAAAATCGAATAAAAATGGCTTAGTAATGCTTTATTTAGTGATAATAAGTATATCTGTGTTTTTCCTAGAAATATTTACGTTTTGCTTGTTTTTTATATACGTCGCTGCTAGTACACATCTCTTTTAAGAGACCAACAGTAGTTGGAGAGTATACTAATTTTGCTCTTTCCAACATAACGCTGTTCAATCTTTTGAATTTCCTGGTGAAATCCTAAACCCTGTTCATCACTCATCTGCCCTAAATTTGAAACATATTAAAATGAGCATGCAGATGGTGCAATTTAATGGACATATTGCAACCCATTGCATGGTAGGCAGTCACCATGCCACTTCATAAGTCTACATAATGTTCACTCTTTTTTGTTTTTAAGAAAATTTTCACACACAGAAAAAACACCATTCCATGCATTTTTTTCTAAAGGCGTCATTTGTTGTAAAAAATTGCAGTCCCTAATCAGTTCCCGTAGTTGTGGACCGACAAAAATACCTGTTAAAAATATAATTAAATTTTGTTTTAAATCATGTAAAAATACCTTGTACCTTCTTTCAATTTCGCGTAAATTTTTTCGTGGGAGAAATTGAAAGTTTTTTGAAAAATTTACGTTTTTTTCTGTTAAAAGACCAATACTAAGCCCTTCTCCAGCCGGTTTTCAAACTTTTATCTTTGTTAGAAAGGTAAAACCCATGTCATTCCAACAAAGAAAAAACAATTTTAATTCGACCAAAAAACAACAAATTTAAAACTTCTTGAATTTGTAACTTGAAGAATACCAAAGTTTTATTATATTTGTTAGTAAAAAACAGATAAACAAAGTGATGGAGAAAAACTGTAAGTAGAGTCGTGTCCTATATAATTTCTATATGAGAACGCCTGCCTATTCTTTGTGTAGCACAGTGTAATTAAATCTATTTTCATGATATTTAAGTTTTGTTCCGGGTTGAATTTCTTCCTTTTTTTTGTGGTGAATGAGGCATTTTTATGAATACCCTTTTGAATAACGATTATAAGAAATGTTCGACAGTACTATCGAGAGTATCTAATATTATACACACACCGACACTACAAATGGTAAGGTTTGGCGTCAAAATAGTTTAGACAAAAATGTAGATCATGTAATGTTTTTCACATCCAAATATGATAGAAAATTTAATAGACTTTCCTGTGTAGAAAATTTAAGATTGGCCAACTGTATGTAAGTGGCTATATCTCAGTAGCTGTTAGACTTTCTTGAATTTTGAAATTGTATTTGAAGTAAGCGGAAAATTTTACATTAGAATTCATTGAATATGTCGCAAGTCGGACAATTTTTTTCTTTCTGTCAACTTTCGTATAAGCCTAAAAATATTACTCGTGAAATAAAAATTCTGTTTTTTTTTTTTAATGTGTATAAGTGTACGTATTTATATATGTACACTGATAATGGTCAAGCTGTTTAGTAGAAGGTATGAAATTTACATAAAAACCTTTCTCAAACCGACCATCTTTTCTTCCCATTTTCCTAGTACACTTCCAAAATACAACATTGAGCCAAGGTAGCACAAAAGCGAGCTGCCACAATGTATGTACATCACCTTTTATTATTGCATCATGTTCAATTACTAATAAAAGCACTTTAACTTTAAGCATACCCAGTTGGCATTTGCAAAAGGGCTTCTCAAACGAAGGCCTTCTCGTAGGGCTTCTCATAGGAGGCCTGTCAGCATGTTTGCTTTTGATGCCCTTCAAAAAACCCTTCCTGAGAAGCTGCATAGGCAGATTTTTGTGCTTGCAGTAAGGGTGGGTAACTCAGCCATGCGATCAATTATGTGAGTTACGGTCTGTATTATTTAATTGGAAGAAGAATTATTTGTATTTGAAATTTTTGAGTTCCAAATACGAAATTTAAATTACAATGACTACACTTGCGATCAGCTAATTAAGCCAGCAACGTTTTGATCAATTTTGGATATTTTTATTTTGTTTATTTAATATGTATTAGTTTTTATGAAAAACTACCTCATTCTATAACAAACATCATATTAATCCACATTTTAAACTTTGTTTAAAAATTATAAAAAATTGCAAAGTTTCAACTAAATTTTCAACTTTTTATTGAGATTTTGCAGAATTTTTCGGAGTATGTAGTTTAATAGCCCAATAAAACTAGTATAATAAAGTGCAAGTTATTTTTCTAACGGAATTACGCATTTTTTTGACAATCTCAATAAATAGTTGAAAATTTAGATGAAACTTTGCAGATTTTTTATAACTTTTAAACAAAGTTTAAAATGTGGATTAATATGATGTTTGTTATAAATGAGCTAGTTTATCATAAAAACTAATACATATTAAATAAACAAAATAAAAGAGCCAAAATTTATCAAAACGTTGCTGGCTTAATTAGCTGATCGCAAGTGTAAGTAATTGTGTACAGTATTATTTACATTGAAATTTATTAATGTTTTTGTTATATTCCTTTGTAAGCCCTTAATTTAATTAAATAAAAAGCCATTAAATGGCAACAATTCATGCAGGGGTTTTAGATCGTTTCTTATGGAAGTATACCTTAAAGCCCTTCTCAGAGAAAGGGAGGTGGAAGGCCTTACCTAATGAGCCACTTTGTAAGTACTTACTTTAATTAAATAATAAGCCACTATAACAGCACAATTCAGGAAGGGCTTCTGCAGCTTTATTTATGGAAGTGCACATGGAAGCCCTTCCCAGAGAAAGGGAAATGTAAGGCCTTGATAAGTGGGAGATCTCATACAAAAAAGAAGGAGAAGTAGAAGTGCTCCTGTCTGCCAATGGAAGGACTAGAAGTGCTTCTTGAAGGGGTTTCAAGCCCTTCTATTGCCAACTGGGTATGTATGCATATATGCACATATATTCCAAAAATGTGCTTTTAATTGGTTTAATTTTATTTTTATTGTTTTGTATTTTCTGATGTGCTTTATGCATTATAGAAATACCAGGATGAAATCGTAATTAAAAAAAAAAAAGAAATATTTCACAGACTGGTGTGTATATGACGTTAGCTTTGTTTTATAACCTTTATTAAATATTCAACAAACGAACCAAAAAAAAACAAATTAAATTATAGTAATTGTAAAATTATTACATTTTTTACAGGCCACTGCCATTTCAGAATCTAAGACATACGCTAATACTGAAACAGAAATCGAAGCAGAGGTTCAGAGCGAACTTAAAAACGGTGCATTAGGAGGAAAGAAAATTTCTAATTCAACTAGTTTCGATTTATCATCTAACGGACAAAAGGCTAAAGCAAATTTTCACTTCAAAATGTCGGCGGAAGCAGCGAAGCTTTTCCAAACATTGCAAGAAAGTCCACTTCCTCTAGAGGTACAATGCCGTTTTATTTGAAATTTGAACACAGAGACGTCTATATGCTGACATGTGTATGTACTAGGGCATTCAATCCCGGGATCCAGAATCCTGAAATCCCGGCATCCCAAACAATTTTCCGTGTCCCAAAATCCCGGGATTACAGCTCCGGGATCCGGAGATTTTTACTGATTTATTTACAGAGTGAAAGTGATGTTGAAAACGAAAAAATTAATTCACATACATTTGACATGAAAAAACGAGAAATACAGAACACAAAAATTTGGATTCAAAGTGAGTTTGAATCATTAGCACTCGGAAGTGAATTTCAGAACCTGCCTGAATAACTGTACTTGTTCAAAGATTTTGTGCAAGAACTATCCCAGCAAAAAGAAGACACCTATTTTTTTATTTGGTCATGATATTCGAAAATCTCGAAAAAAAAAAAATTCCCGAAATTTTGAACTCACGGAGAAGTATCTTTTTTTAATTGTTTGCAGTTAATAAACTATTTGTCGGAGAAAATCAGTTAAGGTATCAAAATGTGCGTAATCGGCTTTCCACGAGAATGTGAGATAGATTAAAATAAAAAAAGAAAATGCATTATAAAGTCGAATTTTTTATTATTTATTTTTTTTTATTAACTTCATCAAGTTTGATTTTTATTTTTTTTTTCAACCTGAATAGTTGTCAAACTTTATGTGAGATAGATTAAAATAAAAAAAAAATTTGCATTAAAAATTCGCATTTTTTATTTTTTATTATTTTTATTAACTTCGTCATGTTTGATTTTTATTTTTTTTCAACCTGAATAGTTGTCAAACTTTGTGGAGTAAGCTGTAAAAATGTGAGAATGGAAACACCAAAGCTGTAGAAGTTACAAGTTTTTTCGTACCTGCGTACATAAACTTTAGTATAAACATGCACTTGTGGTCAGCTGATTAAGTGACCTTTTGACCAGTTTTGTTTATTTCTCTTTTGTCTATTTAATGTTTATAGTTTTTTTTACAAAAGTTTGGCACATTACATAACCAGCACCACATAAATCCCCATTTCGAATATCGTAAAAAATTATAAAAATTCAACAAACTTTCACAACTACACCCAAAAATTTTAAACTTTTTATTACAATATTTTGGAAAAATTCTAGAAATGGGGATTTATGTGCGGTTATGTAAAGCGCCAGAATTTTATAAAAATTATAAACATTAAATATACGAAAGAGTAATAACCAAAAGTGGTTAAAATGTCACTTAACTTAATCAGCTGACCACAAGGGTATATTTTTTGCAATGCGGACGTTTTTTTATTATTCTCTATACTAGACTCTATATTTCACATCTTAACTACCCTTTTTAGAAAACATTTTCTACAAAACTGCTAAGGACCGATTTCATAATGAAATTAAAGAATGTTTTAAAATTTTAAGGATGCTTTATTTTGCTGATCGATTTCATAAAGCTACTTTAAAGATAAAGGTGCTCATAAAGGCTCTTTAGTTAGATACCCAAAATGGAAATTTAAATGACATAAAGGTCCCTTTTGTAAGAAAAAAAGTGTGTCATTTTCGTAGTATAATTACATATTTATGACAATTACCTGATGCAATATTGCCGAGATCAGCATTGCCAATTTTGTTATTTTCATTTAAATGAATCTTTTGTTATTATTCAATTGCCATTGTATTATGAAAGCACTTCTTGTTTAAAGTACATTTAAATGACACTTTAACTAAAAGGAAACTTTTGCAAAAGGAATTTTAAGTGTTTCATTATGAAATTGGCCCTAATTTTTTTTTTCTAAAATGAGTAATAAAGAAGTGAACATTTGCATAAAGTTTAGAATTCCAATTTTTGGAGTTTCTGTTGTAGTATTCGCCATAATTTTATATAGAGTTATGTTTAAGAAGCTTCCCAGAGGAGAAATTTTATAGGTTTTCTGGGGCAAACCGTAGTTCAACATGCATCAATTGAGGAAAAATCGAATGTCGATTCTCGAATTTTTGGAAACGATTCGCGGATCGAATCGGAACTACAAAATCGAGAAAAAATTGTCGTGTATTAATGTGTGGAATGTTTTATTCCCTTTAGAAATTTAAAGATTAGGTATTTATTTAATTTAAGTTACCAAATTCTACTTACACTTTTGTGTGATTCCTTCGATATGGCAGCCACGAATGCCGCTATTTTTGCTTTGCACATAAAATTTACGATACAATAGGGTTGCCATCTATACAAAAATACTATTCTTTTACAAAACCCCAAGCCGAGCCAACATCCCCCCCTTCGTGGGTCAAACCAGATGCACCAACATCTAACCTGGCCAGTATACAGGCTGGGCGTTTTTATACGCCGCCCGTGTTTGAACTCTCGCAGCTACTTTTGTCGCAACAACAACTACAGAAAAACCGGGGCGACAGGTTCTTCCACCAACTGCAATGGTAGTTATAGTGAACAACGTCACTGGTCAAACAGCAATTGTATGCGCTCTCATTGACAACGGTTCCGAAGCAACGATAGCCTCGGAACACGCCGCTAAAACCGTTGGCTTGACTCGCACTCGAACTTCAACGGAAATCTCGCATTCACTCATGTATCAATCCGGATTTTCACACTACAATGGAAGTAGCCTACGTTCTTAATTCGCTCGCTATCCATCTGCCCAGTGAGAAAATTGTGGCGCAGCAGTGGCCGCACATACTTGGCCAGCAACTCGCTGATCCCACTTATTTCCAATCTCGCCGTATAGACTTGCTCCTCGGATATGATGGCTCGTATCATGTTACCTGAAACTCGCATTGGAAAGTTCGACGAACCAGTCGTACAACGCACACAATTGGGGTGGATCTTGACCGGCAATGTAACCCCAGTTTCCAAACGCTCAACGAGTATTCGCTGTCACCACTCCACGCTTCAACTTGAATCTCTCGTTCAAAGGTTTTATGAACATGAACAAATACCTGCGGACCGAGCATTATCTCTCAGAGAAAACTGGTGTGAATTTTTTGCAAACGCATAGTCGTCAACCCAATGGCAAGTATTTGGTAAGACTTATATTAAAGTCAACTCATCAAACTCAAACAATTAGCAAGTCTAAGCAAACAGCATTAAATCGTTTTTATTGCCTAGAGCGCAAACTTCAGCGCGACGAAAAACTATGCAGGCTTTACAGCGAATGCATCAATGACTACTTCGTATTAAATTTAATTACGCCTGCTACAACAAGGGAGAGCGATCACTGCACCTTCACTCCGGCGAATACTCCAACAGTGACATCGTGCGTTTTGCCACATCATGCGGTGCTTAAAGAAGAGAGCTTAGCGACTAAGTTACGCATTATTTTCGATGCTTCGTGTAAGACGACGAATAGCAGATCTTTGAATGGTGTTTTGGGTACTTGCCCGGCGCTGCAAAACGACTTGTCGGCAGTAATCTTGAATTGGCGAAAACATAAATACGCGTTCACTGCTGATATCAGAGTGTCCAGATTGGGCGATTTAGCACCAACTTGGCGCTTTTTTTTTTTAGATATTTGCGCGTAAAAATTTAAGAAATCGCCTTTGGCGATTTTTGACGTTTTTTCCCTTCCCTACAAGAAAAGGACTTTTTTCTGACCTCTTCTTAGTGGTCACTAAAACATACACATATGTTAAAATAACCTTAGGAAATACAGTAAGTAGAAAAGAGACATTTTAGCACTGGTGGTAAAATCCCCATGTGAGAAAGGGAACTGGCAAGGTTTTTCATGTTCAGGTGACCGGTCATAAATTCGGGGGTAATATGAAAAACCTGACCAGTTCTTTTGTGTACATGTGACTATGCGTCCCTTTCTCACATGGGGATATTACCACCAGTGCTAAAAGGTATCTTTTCTACTTACTGTATTTCCTAAGGGTATTTTAACAAATGTTTTTTCTATGTATTGGTGTATATTTTAGTGCGGTAGTGAAGAGGTAAAAAAAATCCCTTTTCTTGTAGGTTTTTTTTGTGCGCTATTGGGTAAAGTAGGGTAAGTAGGTTATGGAGTTAGAGGTTCAATTTTGATGTGGCAACACTTTTTATTGTTATTGATTTTGTTGTAGCATATCGTAGAGCTGAAAAACTATCGATAGTGTTCCCACTCGATAGTTTCGAAAGTTTAAGTTTTGCACCATCGGTGGTATCGATAGTAACGTTTCGTTTTTAATGGGTAATTAAGTTTAGAGTTGCACTTTTATATGAACTTTTTCGCTTTATTTACATACTTGTTTTTCACCAATAAATTTAAAATTAGAATGATAAAGTAGTGGAAATAGAGAAGAAACTATCGATAGTCATAAAGGCTATCGATGGCGGCTACAACTATCGGTAGTAACAACCTAAAATGACACTATCGATGGTGTCGATAGTGGCAATAAAAGGCAAACCATCGATACTTTTCCAGCTCTAGCATATCGAACATTTGCCAATATTAAACCACCGTTTGTGACAACTCCCGCTGAATCGGCAGCTGAGATAGGGCGTTTTTGAAACGAATTCTGAAATAGGGCGTACTTGAAAAGTTTTTTGAGATAGAGCGTTTTCGAACTGGCTGCCGAGCCTCTTACAGTACCGCGCATCGAGCTGACGACAGAATTGGCACCCCGGACGAAACGGTCGTTTAAGGGTAAAGTTTTATATTTGCCCATTTTTTATTGGACCGACGCTACAATTGTCTTGTATTGGATATTCGGTGATCCCAGCCAGAGTAAGTAAAATCCTTCAAGCCTCTTCGCCTCATCAGTGGAGCCACGTCGATACGCTTCAAAATCCTGCCGACTGTGCAACTCGAGGATTAACTCCTATGGCTTTATCGACATTCACGCTATGGTGGACTGATCCACTCAGCAATGGATGTGCAAGAGGAACTAGCTGAAGTCAAGCGCAAACACCTTCAAGTGCACTTGTCTATCGCTGAAGAGTCAGTAATTTTTCGGTACTCTTCTCTTCACAAAACGGTACGTGTGTGCGCTTACATGTTTCGGTTCGCCTATAATGCTC